GGTGAATGGCATTTTGTCTATGCAGCTCAGGGATTGAAAAGTAAAAAATGAAAAACTCATTATCAACATCACTTTCCAGGGGAAAAAAATGTCCTAGCTTCACTGTGAACACTTTTCATTAATTTCACCAAAAGAACAATGAGATCAATAGGTCGGAAAATAATATGTTAAGGGTTAGTTAATTCCTTTATCATTTTTAACCCAGCTGAACTTACTAGTGCGCATGGAGGTTTCGTATGAAGCGCAGTAATCCCAGTGGGTTTTCAGGATAGGACTTTTTCTTTTCCATTTTCTTCACCAACTCTGATGGAAACTGTAACCAAAAAACATTAGTTATGATTAGTGGTGGGACTCGATTAAAAAAATAAATTAATCAAATTAATTAGAGGCTTTGTAATTACACAAGAAGCAACATTTTTCAATTTAAATGGATTTTGGTATATGACTGAATCAATGAATAGACACATAAATGAGCTTAACCACCAAATCGTGTTTATTTTCATCACTGAGTGTTAACATAAAGTGCATTATGAATAAAGAATATTATGATTGCATTTTTCACAAGGCACAAACTTAAATTCAAGTTAGCTATATTCAAGCTTTTTCAGGACTTTTTGTAAACTTTCTATGTCTTAAACACATTTGTTTTTGTTTATTAAAATAAAAAACCTGCTCGAACTAGGAGCGTTGTCTGTGCTAGCTGCAACATGTTTGGCATTGAGGTGGTAGCGGAGGCTGGAAGTGCTCTGGTGATAGGCAAATTCTTTCTTGCACAATTTACACACAACTGTGCTTTTATCCAGGTTTCCACCCGGTAGTTTTTTAATACTCAAATTTCCGCCAACCAAACCCAGCAACGACTTCTCATCAGTTTCCATTTCTCGTGTTGTGTCCTGTGCATCAGTATTACTTGTGCAACAAGCAACGTTCCGCGCTGTTTGGTGTGTAAAAATAAACTGCGATTAAATGCGTTATTTTTTTTGTCACATTATTTTTTCTGTAATTAATTAATCGTAATTAACGCAATAAAGTCCCAGCCCTAGTTATGATATATATTATATTATATTGATAAAGTGGAATTCAAGAAAACAAACGAGTGGGGTTTTGAATAAAGCATAAAATGTATATGTTGCAGGCACCTTATTTTTCCACAATTTGAAGGATGCAGCCCCAGGCCAGTTTTCCAGTGAAGTCAATAATTCCGATTCAGGATTTCGGCAGTTTTCCACATCCTTTCTGTTCCCAGTTTCTCTCAAGTATTTGACTATCCTGGAAATGAAAATTTCCATTTTGGGTTAATGTTCATAACATAAACAACTTAAACCTTTTCTTCATATTATCAGGCTAAACTAAGATGGTGACCATGGCAAACATTATACCTGTTAGCATTAGCATGTTGGCCTGTTGATATTAGCATCTGGATGAAAGCACCACTGTGCCTTTAAGAGCTGCCTCAGAGCCAAAGTAATGGACTTGAGGCCTTTTTAACGCAACGTTAGCAACAAAACACAAGTTGAATTAATCTGAATTAAGTGGCCATGATAAAAGTGATTTTACTTTTCAGTGTTCCAGAAGAAGGGATGGTCCAAGCATTCACTCGCAGTAAGTCTGTTGTTTGGTTCTTTGTCGATCATCTGCATGATGAGATCCTTTGCCACCACATCTTGAACATGGTCCAAATTGTAATTTCCTTCATGAATGTTGTACTGAAACAACTCAAAGGGTTTGTCGCTGAAATGGTTTCCTCCAGAAAGGATGTAATAAATCAGCTCCCCTGCCACCTTAAATGTAAGTACAGATTCAATGTAAGCACAAATATGTGAATGACTTTTCATGCAAGAAAATTTGTGTGTCAGAAAAACAAACCTGTATGTCATCGCTGCACTTGTATGCTGTTAAAACGACGTCTCTAGTCTCTTTGGCCATCCCATATTTTGTTTGTTCCGTTGGTAATCGTCTGCTTTTGCCAAAACCTGCTAATCTTGCCCTCCCAGTAACGTCTGCAGGATAATATATTATTTTGTTAAACAAAATCATATATTGAACAAAACAAATGAAGTATATTATTTTACTTCAAATTTTAATAGTGAAAGTTTTAATCATCTTACCGATGACAACATTCTGTGGTTTGAGATCTTGGTGAACAATTGGAGGAGTTTGACGATGAAGCACCCTTAAACTCTTGAGAATCTGTTTGACAAGTTTCTTTCTCAGCAGACCACCATCATTATTTCTGATGTATTCTTCCAGGGTGTATTCATAAAGTTGAAGATAAAGATATCTGAAGTTCTCATCCTCCGCAGCATCAACATATCGTACAATGGATGGATGATCAAGCTCTGGAAGTCGTAGAAACCTTTCCTCATTCTTCAGCACTTGATAGTTGCATTTAGACATTCTCTTAATAGCAACCTCAGTGCCATCATCTCTCAGCCCCAGAAAGACCTCAGTACCATCACTGCCCATTGCAATGTGGAATTCTGCATCATTCACATAAATCATACTCCCAATTCTGGATACTTTCCTTTGATCAGTGCTCAGAAGCTTCTCTAAATTTTCTAATTTTTCTCTCCACCTCATGCTGATTTGTAGCCTTTTGTATGTTTTTGATGACATAGTGGTGTTCTTGTGGAATGGCTTAACATTTGAAGGTGACTCCACAATAGCTGATGCTAGATCAGTTGTTGTCGTGAAAACGTTTGTGCTCAGAAACTTATTTAATTTTTGTGTCAATCTAAACTTTGGCCATTTGTGTGTTTTCATATTTTCAGATGTCAGTATGTCCTCGGGCACTGAAGTTATCCCCATAGATAGAGCTTGCTCATTTGGTATATGGTGGTCTTCCATTCTGCAGATAACTGTATGTAAACTATCAATGGCCCACTTTACATGTACTGCAGATTTGTTTACAAAGCAACTGACTACCCCTGCAATGTATAATGTCACATTTTCAGGGTTCTCCAGCCATTTGATACTTCGTTCTCTGTATTTTATTTTATCTGGCCCATTAAGATTAAAGTGCACTTCAATCATGGCCAGATGGGTCGGAGGATCCTCCTGCAGCATGTGACGGTCAAACATTTTGAACACTACAGATGGCTCCCCTCCCACAGGAATTATTATTCTGATCATTTTCTTTGCTCCAGAGTATCTGTGGCAAGACAAAAGCAATGGATTACTTTCATTAATTCGTAAGATGAATGTTAATGTCACGTTTGGTCTTAAATTAAGATATTTAATTTACTTCAAATACATTAAACAAGTATTTAGTAGTAAGTTTAGTATGATAAATGAAGATTGGACGGTGATGGTGGTGGCTGATATTTTGGCCATGCTAATATATTTCCAATGTCCATATATATATCGTATTAGTGTCTTTATGAATTTAATCTGATGCAGGTCCAAGGACTGAAATTAGACTAAAACTCAGTAAAGTGAGTGAGTACTTGTGTGCTGGGTTTTTGCAATGCCAAAAATATATATTCTCGACAACGTTTGTTACACTAGCAGTAGCTTTTCTGGAAGGCTTTTAATACCCTGCAGTTCTGCAGCACTACAGCACTTTTAATTGTATTTGTATATTATATATGTGTTATGTATTGTTTCATGGCTTTGTTGTAAAGCACTTTGGGTACCTTTCGGCTATTGTAAAGGGCTATACAAATAAACTTGATTTGATTTGATTTGATAGCTGTCTTGGACATCGCGGTGAAACTCTCTCTCTCTCTCTCTCTCTCTCTCTCTCTCACACACACACATACACTGCAGTATAGAGGAAACGAAACCGTGAGAGAGTTGATGAACATGTTTATGCAGCTGACGTAAATCAAAAGCTAAACAATAAAGACTCAATATAGATTAATAGGGATTAATAAAGTATATATCACTTGACTCTCAGTTTCCATTAAGTAAAAATGTAAAATTAAATTAAATTAAATTAAACTTAGCATTATCTGCATCATTGCTATGGTATCAGACCAATCCTGCCAGAGTCACTTATCACAAGATCATAAATGTGTTTCCCCACAGTTATGGCAACACTTTACTGTACCTACATTTCATTTGACATTTGATCACTTAATATTTCCTTTCCCCTTGGAACACAGTTATATGGCCCTGTGTGAACTTCCTGGTTGTACAACTGCCAGGGTTGCTGGTTTTTAAAAGCGTAGTGATTCAAACATTTGCAATAATCAAAATACTTATATACCGTTTGTATCCAGAGACTCTTTAAACAAGCTGGTTCATTTTGGATGTATTTGGGTGAATGTTTTAGTACATCTTGCCCAGGGAAGTTTGTCATCCAGGTTAGCAACTTTTTTAAGTTTAGAGATCTACCTTGACTTAGAGTGGGAGGAAAGTTAAAAAATAACTTACAGTTTTGAAGTATGATGGTTGTCTTTGTTGAGTTATCGTTCCAAAGTTATCGTGTTGATAAAGCAAGTTCAGGATCTAAGTGATCTCTCTCTCTCTCTCTCTGCTTTTTTTTCTCTTTTTGCTCCTCCCATATCAGTGCATTATCTTGCTGCATGATTGGACTGGCTGTTGTTGGATTGCTTGCGTGTGTGTTCAGGGCGGGACTCTCATCAGACATTGGACTAAGCACCCTGAAGTTATAACCTGTTTTGTTTCGTGGAAAAATGTCAAATTTCGGAGCTACACCACCGACAACGAGAACTCAAGATTTTGATAACTTTTGACCGCAATGTTCTTTACATTATACTGACCAAATTTGGAGTCAATCCGATCCATTCCCCAGGATGAGTTTGTTAAAATTCAAAAACACTGACAACCAGAAAGCTAGTAAAAAGAATTGAATAAAGAATGTTTCTGTAACTAAGTTGGTGTCACTTAAAATTACTCGTAAAAGTTGCTTAATCAAGAATCTTCTTGAACTGAAAACATTATGATGTAATCCATTCCAACAACTCTTTTTTGTTAAAATAACTTCAATTTATAATCAATACAGAAAACATAACAATAACAATTTTAATATTAAATAAACAAGATTTGATTGATATTTATTTATAAGACAAGAATCTATTTCTAAAAACATACATTTTACAATATGTGAAGTCATCTTAATAGGTTAAACACCATAAAATTACATTATTTCATTTATATATTTTTTTTCTTAATTACTCATCTATTTCAACGTCTAAAACATGCAAACAATAATAAATACACATTTAATGTAATAAGAAAGGAAATCTGTGTCAGGAATGAAGGAAGACACTAAGACATTACTGCACTCTGTGACTTCTCTCCTCTAGTTGCTTTACAATTGTACGAACTTTCTCGACTGCCACTCACTCAGTTGTCTCTTTATTTCTGAAATGGTTGTACCTCTCAATGACATAAAAAGCCATTAAGACAGGTAGAGCAATAGAACAAAGAAGCTAAAAGGGTTCCAAACGATGACCTATGTTTTAAAAGTCAACTTCACTTAAGAGAGGCTCATGGACAACATCACAAAGCTTGTGGTGATCTTTGAAACATTTCCTTCAACGGGGTCTCTAAATTCCATCCTTGGGTCTTGGCAAACTTGTAAACACATCCAAAGAGAGCAGGAAATATCGTCATCACGTCAACTTGGGCTGCATCCTTGGCACTACAAACCAAAAAAAAAAGTAGTTATTATATATTATACAGTTTATATAATATCTGTACAGTTATACAGATATTATATAAAATTGTTTAACAGTCATCTAGTTTGTGAATGACACCCATGACCACATGATGTTTTGTTTCATGAAAATTTTGCATCTTGGTGAATGTAAACTGCAGCAAGAACATAGTGATGAAAATGTTGTTTTTGTCTTTACATAAAAGGTTTGCCATTTGAGAAACAGTGTCCATCCAGCTGCATCCACACCCAACACTGCAGCACATAACATGTGTCTTTTAAAAAGGACTGAACCACACAACTATCAAAAAACAAAATGAAAGTTTATTACTAGTTAGTAGTTACTATTATTGTAAAGACCCTGCACCACTTTTAATATTTTGTTTCACTCACTAGTGCTCATGCAGGTTTCGTATGAAGCGCAGTAATCCCAGTGTGTTCTCAGGGTAGGCTTTTTTATTGCCATCCATCTTCTGGACCAACTCTGGTGGAAACTACAACACCAAAAGTAATTAGTCATAAGGTGGAATTTAGGCATACAGAAGTTGTTGTTATATTGCAGTAGTTGTCACCTTATTTTTCCACTGTTTGAAGGATTCATCCCCAGCACATTTTTCCAGTGAACAGATCAGCTCCTGCTCAGCATTTCGATACTTTGCCACCTCCTCCCTGTTGCCAATCTTTCTCAGGTATTCAGCTCGTCTGGAAAAAAGTTACAGATACTGAGCACACTGACCATTCGCTAGACCATTCTCTCAAATCATAGCTTAGCAACCCTAACTATGAACAACAGCCCTGGTGTGCATTGGCATGTATGTTGCTTTGGCATGTGAATGCTCTATAAATGGTCCTTGGTGCGACCAAGCCGAGTGAAGCTGGAACTTTCAGGTCTGTTCCAGGATTAAGAAAACCTCATTCTGGAGCCTATTGACATATGTAACGCAAAGTCTTTGGGCAATTTTGGTGGTCACTATTAGACTACATGATATCAGCCCAATAAGCCTGACCTGACAGATGAATCGGGTGAGACAATTGATTGTTTTGTCCCATGTAGCTTACCGTAGTGGACTTCCCATGTCCCATGAAGGTGGTCCCTAGCACTTCCTTTCCTGTGACATCATGCACGTGTTGAAAGTTGGCATGTGGTCTGTCATGTCTCTTTGTCACGGCAAAAATGTATGACTCCTTTATAATTGTCTAATCTGACACAGTGACAGACATCGTAACGGGCAAAAATATTGTGTTGTCTGAACCTGGCATCAGTTCAGACATGAACACATTTCACAATGTTTGAAAAGCATGAATGTTTGTTGCAGATTGTGTACCATTTCAATTACAGGTAGAAATATTTCACTCTAGACCAATATCGTAGACCAACCAGCCAACTGACAATGCCACCCCAAAAGCTGAAATGAAAGTAAGGACATCAGCTGACAGGGATTTTAATTTCTAAATCAATCAATCAATCAGGGTTACTTCCTCACTTTTCAGTGGTCCAGAAGAAGGGATGACTCAAGCATTCTTCCACTTTAGGTCTGTTCTTTGGTTCTGTATCGATCATCCACTCGATGAGATCCTTTGCCACCACATCTTGAACATGGTCCAAACTGTACTTCCCTTTGTGAATGTGGTACTCACATTCAAAGGGTTTGTCGCCAAAAGGATGGTGTCCTCCAGAGAGGATATAATAACTGAGCATCCCTGCCACCTTAAAAATTTAACAGAACATTTTTGCAATTAAGGAAGTATTTTTCACCAAGTCATCAATTAAGTTGTTGTAGCAGTAGAACTGACCTGTACATCAGTGTTTGGCTTGTATGGTATGTCAGCTTCTTCTTCTGCCAATGTCTCTTTGGCCATCCAGCATTTTGTTCCTGCCTTGCCTGTGCGATAGGTTGTTTGTCCCCTGGGTAACCGTCTACTTATACCAAAATCAGCTAATCTTGCCCTCCCATTAACATCTGCAGGACAAATGGTGTACTGATTCAGTAAACAAAATCATATATTGAACAGAATAAATTCAAATATTTTTGTATACTTTCAGATTAACTTGTTTTACCGATCAAAACATTCTGTGGTTTGAGATCTCGGTGGAGAATTGGAGGATTTTGACAATGAAGCACCCTCAAACTCTTGAGAACCTGATAGACAAGTTTCTTTATCATCAGACCACCATCATTATTTCTGATGTATTCTTCCAGGGTGTATTCACAAAGTTGAAGACCGAGATATCCAAAGTTATCATCTTCTGCAAAGTCAACATATCGTACAATGGATGGATGATCAAGCTCTGGAAGTCGTAGAAACCCTTCCTCATTCTTCAGCTCCTGATAGTTGAATTTAGTCATTCTCTTAATAGCAACCTCAGTGCCATCATCTTTCAGCCCCAGAAAGACCTCAGTACCATCACTGCCCTTTGCAATGCGGAATTCTGCATCATTCACATAAATCATGCTCCAAATTTTGGTTACCTTCCTTTGATCAGTGCTCAGAAGTTTCTCTAATTTCTCAAATTTCTCTCTCCACCTCTTGCTGATTTGTAGCCTTTTGTGTGTTTTTGATGACATCGTGGTGTTGAAGTAGAATGGCTTAACATTTGAAGTTGACTCCACAATAGCTGATGTAAGATCAGTTGCAATAGTGAAAACTTTTGTGTCTTCTAGCTTTTCTGACTTTTCCTTCTTTTTCTTGGATCCAGGTAAGGCTGTACTGTCCTCACATTCCGACTTTAGTGAGCTGAAATGATTTTTTAGTCGTCTGAGGACTACTTTCAGCTTGTCATTCATTTTCATATCTGCAGATGTCAGTATGTCCTCGGGCACTGAACTTATCCCCACTGATGTAAAGGTGTCAATCGCATGGTTATTTGAAAGTAAGTTTGCTAATACGCCGTATGTGAAGACTCTAATGTCAGAAGAATGTCGGTCCTTTACAAAAGGAGCAACTGTTTTGCACAACTTCTCAACAAAGTTGGGATCCCAGCCATCTGTGTCTTTTGATTTCTGTGTTATCACATACAGTGTTTGTAGAACAGCTTCCCATATATCAGGCCTCACTTTTGAGCAAAGCCAGTCCAGTAGTTGGGCGGTTAAAGCTAGAGCTTGCTCATTTGGTATGTCTTCTATTGTGCAGATAACTGCATGTAAACTATCAGTGGCCTTCTTTACATGTATTGCAGGGATGTTTTGAAGGCGACTGACTGCCCCTGCAATGTAGGTGTTCACATTTTCAGTGTTCTTCAGCCATTTAATACTTCTCCTGCGGAATGTGTCTGCATCTGGCCCAGTTACATTAAAAAGTGTTTCAATTATGGTCAAATAGTTCTGAGGATGCTCCTGCAGCATGTGAGGATCAAAGGTCTTGAACATTTCTTCAGATGGTTTCTCTTGTAGAGCAATTTCCATATCCAGGAAATATTTGACTTTGGTGCATAATTCATCTCCTTTCGATGCAAGGTTATGAATCATCCAAGATATTTTTTTATTGTGAATCATATGTTCAGTATCAGTGATTGGTAACAATGTTACCAGTGCACCAGCAGAGATGAGCTCTTTCATGACATCGTCCCTGTCATGGATGGCAGCAGTTTGCAGAGGTGTGAACCGCTGTAGTCCAATAGCATTCCATCCATCTGGATTAGCTTTTGCTTCAAGCAGTTTAACAACAAAGAAAAGTGGTGCGTTGGATAGTGAGACATAATGCAAAGGTGTTAAGTCATTTTGGGAAGCATTGTTTTGATCTGCACCCTGATGCAAAAGGTAAATAAAAATATTCCAGTTGTTATATAAAACAGCCGCAATCAGTGGGGTAATATTGTCATTCCACTCTTTGCATGGGTAAAGTCCATTAATGTTTTTGTAATTCAGTAATTTTATGAATGTCTCGAAGTTGTTGTCAACTATACACTTTATGAGAGGATGTGTTTCTCTTGGTGGAGCTGTCACTCTGGAGATATTCATTTCTTTGCTTCAGGGTATCTGTAAAAAAGATAGAATTATGATATTACTGTAACAACATTTGGTGCAATTTAAAAAATTCCATCCAGACACGTATTAAGTCATATATCTATGTATGATGTTTTTTTTTTTTAAAGTATAATTTCCACATTTAAAAAACCTGCTACCTGGATTAAATATTCCAGAATCTTTGAATATGTATATGTTGTTAATTTCTAAAGTTTTCCTGCTGGTCACAAGCTGTCTAATACTTCACTATAAAGTCCATTTTCAGTGTATGTGCACTGCTGGCACTTCTACATCACACTTGAAGTAGAAGTTACATACTGGACCGGGATCTGATAAAGACAGATTTCCAATGAGCCAGGGTTCGAGTTATAATTTTTTGGGGTCTCTAAAATAAGCAACGCCTGGGATGGAGGTAAATAAATGATAGCCAAATGGGTGCTCTTTCTGTGAGTGCGAGAGAGACTTCACCATTTTACCACACAGAAGTCCACAATTGCAACAATTGTATCAAATACACTGTCACAACCTGAAACGGCCCTATGATATTGCAGCAAAGATTCAATGGGCTGAAATATGCCAACTGAGACCCATCACTCAAAGGGAGAAGCATTTCTACCTTTTTTGGTATCATATGAAAGGTGTTACTTTTTTACAGATTGCTGGTAATGTATTAGCGACCTACAGATGTATGATTTGACCTCTTTCATGGTAGCTTGACTCCCACTGGCTCCCACATAACTGCAACACTGCATTGAGCACAGAGAAACTTTCCACCTCTAGCAGATGAATGAACTTCAAGGGACTTTAAATAAGCAGCCAACAGCTATCATTAGAATTTAACTTTAAAGGTTCTTTATTTTTATTATTAGTGTGTAGAAAATGTGTAATGTTTAATGCTTTGAGAAGTGGGTACAGACGGTGGAGAATTCAAACCAGAGGACAGCTCAATAAGAAATGTGACTACATGACTACACATAGTAAATAGAGGGTTAATTTATTACCAAGGCTGTGATCCACTAACCAAGTGCCAGCATGTACAGGAATGCTAAATTATTTATACAGCTCGAAAACTCTTCTTTATTTACTATTTTTGCTGGTAAAAGGTTGAGTAGTAATCCAGTTTGGACACAAGTACATTCGAGTGAATACTTGTCCTAAACTCAGAATTGCTGATGTTAATGTTTTCATGTTTTAAGATGTGTCTTGTTAATGCAAACTGGGTGCCACACCTTGCCCTCACTGACTGCTAAGCCGTTTGACTTCCTCATTCAAGTCGACAACCAACATTAATCTTGGAATGTGCACAGCGGTGAAATTTCTATGAATATTTTTGGAACGTAGTAGGTACAAGGATGAAATATTGTGTTTGTAAGTAAACTTTCATTATGATGACAAAATAACCACAAAAATGGCTCATGAATAAAAGTAAGTCCACATGAGTGTGCTTCTCTTAAGTGAGCACACTTTTGTTTTATTATTTTACAATATCATCTTGTGAGAATTGTAGGAAAATCAACTTACAGTGTTGAAGAAAGGTTTCCACTGTTGCATGAATTATATCTATCAAAACTCAACATGCTGTGATTGTTCTGTATTTCTGCCTGTCAATCTGATACTCTTTCTCTCCTGCTTCTCTGTCACTTGCTCCTCCTACACTATAGACTAGAGAAGACTCAAAAGACCGATTGGGGTTGGGTTTTTCATAAGGAATGGGAGGACATGCTCATTTCACTTTTATTGATTTAGTTTGGTTTCTATGAATATTGTTCTGAATGTCCAGCCATAGTCTAAATCTGAGTTGATAACAATATTGATGAGCTCATTTGAGTGTCTTTAGTTATTACTGTCCTCTCACAGCCTTAAACGTAAAGAGCAAAAAATAGAGTATCAGGTTACATACAGGCTGGCCTACCTTACTGATGTTTTTTTTTTTTTACCTTTATTTATTCAGGAAAGGTTCACTGAGAGAATGCCTCTCTTTTGCAGAAACTCTAATCACATTCACACTGTCACACATGCATACCTAGAAGCTATCCAGTACAATCACAACCTGATCTGCTGGCCACTGAGCTGGTCACACACTCGCATCTCTAACCTTTAGGCTACAACATTTAATCTATATTTTCATTCATAGTTAATATTCCCCTTATTGAAGCCAGAATTTAACACCAGTCAATGACAAGATAACTCACAAAGCCCCAACAATTCCAAGTTATCTATCAGATAGGATGAAATAGGCCTGTTTATTAAGGAAGCCAATAAGTAAGGTTTGCACATTAACAAGACAGAGGTTTGCATATCTATTTGTTCATTATTATAAGCACCCCTCCCCCACACAGCCACAAACGCACACACACACAAACTTCGGAAACCAAAGCACGCCCTTTCCTGTACTTGACAGATGACACACAGAAATGCTGTTAACAGGAAGTAAACTTGAAGCCAGCTCAGTTGCCAGGGCATTAGCTGTTTTTAACTGGAGCATGTAGACCTGCACCTGCAGATGATAATAAATAAAGTAGTATTGTGTGCATTATGGTGGTTAAGTATGAGGTTTGATTTCACAAGGGGAAAGATGAGGAATGTTGTTAAGCTTTTGGAGCTTAGCCAACTCAGTGAAACATCAGTGAAGGAAAGGGAGGAGGTGTTATCTTAAAGGTGCAGTAAGTGATTCTGGAGGGCCTCATTCCTAGGTCGGTTGGGATTAGATGACCTGAGAATGAGCCTCAACAATCAACAGTCTTACAGACCTGCGATTGGCCAAAGTCTCCTGTCACAGCCTGCAACTTAATTAGATGAACACATATTATATAACTAAATAATATGTAATTAATATAGACACATGATAGCGTATAAAATAGTATTGTGTGTATTATGGTGGTAAAGACTAGGGGCTGATTTCAAAAGGGGAAGCTGAAAAATATTGTTGATCCTTCAGTCAGTGAAACATTGGTGAGAAGGTGTTATCTTAATAACTTATTTTGATATGCAACTGACTACAATTACAGTATATTTTGAGTAATATTCAGTATGCTTAAAACATAATCATATAAAAGAATCTTCATGTTGTAAAGCTTGCATATTCAATTATGTTTTTTTTTACTTTAGAACAGGCATTTTAAAAGTTGTTTGCTCGTCGTTCTGAGGAAAAACCTGACAAAGTATGAATTCAGATTCTTTACAAATTGTCATCATGACGTAGTTATTTCAGCATCCTTTAGATCCGTTTATTGACTTCAAATCACAGCAAACATTTTAGGCTCTCATACCACAAATGTAAACCAGAATATAAGCCGACTATACGCAGAGTAATCAAGCGATCCCACAAGTAATGCGAGGGGAATACTCGCTTCGCCATTGGTGGGAACGCAACATGAAAAAGAGACAGGGAGAGAGACAGAGAGAAGGCAAAATATGACCTGCACTACAATATAATTTCTATGCCTGCACACAAACACTAACATTTTTCTGACGTCCATATCAACACACAAACACCATTTCTGATGCAAAAATCTGCTTCACTGCTTACTAACATAGGCAATAGTGTGCCTAGTGGAAACCAGGGAAATTAAATGTATTTTCCCCATAAGGCAAACCCTATACAATGGCTCAATCTGGTGGAAAATAGTAAGACTGAAAAAAAATATTGGGCTTGCTCTAGAATGAAAGGCTGATACAGCAGGGAGCATTATTTTATGCTGCTATGGTCCTGGGATCAAAAATGTGGTGTTTTAGTGGGTTTAAATGCGGACATTGTTGTTCAACGTATGATAAATGGAGTTTTAAAGCGTATTTACATTTAGACAGACCTAATATAGGGTCTGATATTAAATTCCCAAAAAATAAAATAAAATAATAATAATAATAATAATAATAATCATCTTGCCAGAGCTTATGACATATGCATTAACAAACCCAAAATGTCCCCTGTAAGGCATACGGGATAATCACAAATTTTAAATTATGCAATGATCAAAAATGTTTTACTATATCAGTTTATAACTATATCAGCGGTAAAAGCTAAACAAATTCTAAAGTAACCAGCAAATACAACCATCAGATAAATGTTGCAAAATAAAAGTAAAACAGTTCCATATGAGGATAATGTAAAGTAAAAGTATAAAGTCACACACATTCCACAGTGAAGCGAAAGTCCCTTAAAATTGTACTACAGTACCTTATAATCTATTTACTGTTACTGTCAACATTTGGAAAATAGTCTCTATGTACAATACATATGCCAATAAATAATAGGTGGAAATAATAAAATCGGTGATAGTTGAATTCCATTCAGCTGCTTCAGTTTCAGGGTTTCTCGCATTGTGCACGCTGGCTCACTGTCACTCTGGCATTGTTAATGTTATTAGAAACACCTGTGCTTTTCCTTTTATGAAAAGGTCTGACAATGTGGGAGAAAGAGTGACTTCCTTAATCCTGTTTTAAGTCAACTTCCCTCTAAAGTCAGTGGGTTGAGATTCTTGAACTGGGACAACCAGGTGCTCCTCAAGGTTTGTGGATGGCACAGTTATGCTGCTGCTTAAATCTTCTCTTTGAAACATTTCCCTCAAGGGGGTCTCTGAATTCCACCCGTGGGTCTTGGCAAATTTGTAAACACATCCAAAGAGATCAGGAAATAATGCCATCACATCAACTTGGGCTGCATCTTTGGCACTGCAAACAAAAAGGAAAATTTTATTACAAAACTTAAAGCCCTGAGAAGGATTGTTTTATTTGTGTGGATTTTGGCGACTTCTGTGGACAAAAGCTGGTGGGATTCAGTAGAGTAACTGCATAGAAATAGCCAGTCTTCTCACTAATTTGTTAATGTAGGTCAGGTGTATTCAACTGGCTCACCAACACTTCCTATCCAGCCTACAGAATTGGCAATGATAAAACTTTAAATATAAGAGACTTTATTTTAGTGACGTTATAAGGCCCTGCATCAGTTTTAACTCAGTTTCACTCACTAGTGCTCATGCAGGTTTCGTATGAAGCGCAGTAATCCCAGTATGTTGTCAGGATAGGCTTTGTTCTTGGCATCCATCTTCTGGACCAACTCTGGAGGAAACTGCAACACCAAAAATGTGTTATAACGTTTCAATTAGGAATACAAAACTTAAAGTTATGTTGCTGTTACCTTATTTTTCCACTGTTTGAAGGATCCATCCCCAGCACATTTTTCTAATGAACAGATCAGTTCTGGGTCAGCCTTTCGACAGTTTGCGGCCTCCTCCCTGTTGCCAATCCTTCTCAAGTATTCAACTCCCCTGAAAAAAATATTTTGTCATATTGACATGAATTGCAGAATACACAGAACTATCATATGATATTGATTGGAATTTGTGTTAGAGATGGAAACTGACCAGTCACTAAACACCTCCAACAAACAGCTTTGTCTAACCCTAACTAGGCAGACAGGCAACTTTGGATTTCTTCACATACCAAACCAGCGTGTATGACTGAACAAAACAGCAAGAAGGAATGGATTTCACAATCTTGTGTTAGAATGCCTGGCTAACTAGCTACCTACTCCAAGCATAACTTTCAAAACCAACTTTCAAAATACTGGGTGTGGTTATGTTAGAAACAAGTGTAGGAGCTGCCATCAAACTTTAAATCTGGGGGGCACCTGGTTAGCTCACTTGGCAGAGCTGGCGACCATGTACCAAGCTGCTGCAGCGGCCCAGGGTTCAAATCCAACCTGCGTGTCACCCCCCTTCTCTACCCCCTTTCCTGTCTACCTTCAGCTGTCACTATTCATTAAAGGCCAAAAAAAACTGTAAATCTGTTCTCCTCTCTGCTGCTGTCAGCTGTCATTTCACGACCTTCCTCCACCCTATTCACATCCAGTGCCCAGGTTGAGCTCATCAGAAGTCTACTCCTCATCAAAGATCCAGATCTTCAGCATTCTCTTCATTCCTTCACCACCACATCCACAACCAGTGTCTAGACTCCATCGGGGGGGGTTTCCTATTCTAATCATGGCTTCACCAACTCCTTCAAATACGATGATGCCACGATGGGATTTGTTGCCAAAGATTTTTCACATTTCTCATCTTCATTGTGCACATATCAATTAAATAGAATTGTCCATTCAAAAAATTAAGTCTTTCCTGATTGAAGTTGCCTCCCAACTGGCAGACCACAAACGCGTGCAAAAGAGAGAATTCTTGTTATTTTTTTACCATATTTTATATCATTCCAGTAAATGTAGAGATATTTCACTCTGCACCAAAGTTGTAGACCAGCTAAACAACAGAATATACCATTCCATAGAAATGAAAAAATAAAATCGATGACAAGGATTTCAATTAATCCATCTATCGATCAATCAGGGTTACTTCCTCACCTTTCAGTGGTCCAGAAGAAGGGATGACTCAAGCATTCTTCCACTTTAGGTCTGTTCTTTGGTTCTGCATTGATCATCCACTCAATGAGATCCTTTGCTACCACATCTTGAACATGGTCCAAACTGTACTTCCCTTCATGAATGTTGCTTTCACATTTATAGGACTTGTCGCCAAAAGGATGGTGTCCTCCAGAGAGGATATAATAACAGAGCATCCCTGCCACCTTAAAAATGAAAAGAACATTTTTGCATTTAAGGAAGTATTTCTTCATGAAGTCATCAGTTAACATTTGTGCAGGAGAAAAACTGACCTGGACATCAGTGTTTGGCTTGAATGGTATGTCAGCTTCTTCTTCTGCTAATGTCTCCTTGGCCATCCAGCATTTTGTTCCTGCGCTGCCAGTGCGATAAGTTGTTTGGCCTTTGAGTAAGCGTCTACTTATGCCAAAATCAGCTAATCTTGCCTTCCCATTAACATCTGCAGGATAAATCAGGTAGAAAAACTCAGGAAACAAATTACATGATAATTATAAATTCAAATATTGTTGATTTTTTTTTTATATTTCTGACTTGTCTTACCGATCAAAACATTCTGTGGTTTGAGATCTCGGTGGAGAATTAGAGGATTTTGACAATGAAGCACCCTTAAACTGTCGAGAACCTGATAGACAAGTTTCTTTATCAGCAGACCACCATCATTATTTCTGATGTATTCTTCCAGGGTGTATTCACAAAGTTGAAGACCAAGATATCCGAAGTTCTCATCCTCCGCAGCATCAACATATCGTACAATGGATGGATGATCAAGCTCTGGAAGTCGTAGAATTCCTTCCTCATTCTTCAGCACTTGATAGTTGCATTTAGACATTCTCTTAATAGCAACCTCAGTGCCATCATCTCTCAGCCCCAGAAAGACCTCAGTACCATCACTGCCCTTTGCAATGCGGAATTCTGCATCATTCACATAAATCATACTCCCAATTCTGGATACTTTACTATCATCAGTGCTCAGAAGCTTCTCTAATTTTTCTCTCCACCTCTTGCTGATCTCTAGCCATTTGTGTGTTTTTGATGACACAGTGGTGGTGTTGTTGAATGGCTTAACATTTGAAGTTGACTCCACAATAGGAGCTGATGTTACATGAGTTGCTGTTGGAACTTGACCATCATTTGTGTCTTCTTGCTTTTCTGACTTATCCTTCTTTTTCTTCTTCTTTTTCTTCTTCTTCTTGGATCCAGGTAAGGCTGTACTGTCCTCACATTCCGACTTCGGTGAGCTGAAATGATTTTTCAGTCGTCTGAGGACTACTTTCAGCTTGTCATTCATTTTCATATCTGCAAATGTCAGTATTTCCTCGGGCACTGAACTTATCCCCACTGATGTAAAGGTGTCAACCGCATGGTTATTTGGAAGTAAGTTTGCTAATACACTGTATGTGAAGACTCTAATGTCAGAAGAGTGTCGGTCCTTTACAAAAGGAGCCACTGTTTTGCACAACTTCTCAACAAAGTTGGGATCCCAGCCATCTGTGTCTTTTGATTTCTGTGTTATCACATACAGTGTTTGCAGAACAGCTTCCCAAATATCAGGTTTCTCTTCTGAGCAAAGCCGGCCCAGTAGTTGGGGGATTATAGCTAGAGCTTGCTCATTTGGTATGTCTTCTATTGTGCAGATAACTGCATGTAAACTATCAATGGCCCTCTTTACATGTATCGCAGGGATGTTTGGAAGGCGACTGACTGCTCCTGCAATGTAGGTGTTCACATTTTCAGTGTTCTTCAGCCATTTAATACACCCTTCTCTGTATTTTTCTCTACCTGGCCCATTAAGATTAAAGAGCATTTCAATCATGGTCAGATGGGTCTGAGTATCCTCCTGCAGCATGTGACTGTCAAATGTTTTGAACACCTCTTCAGGTGGCTCCCCTCGCACAGCAATTTCCATATCCAGGAAATATTTGATTTTGCAGCATAATTCATCTCCTTTTGATGCAAGGTTATGAATCATCTGAGAGATTTTTTTATTTTGAGTCATATGTATAGGATCAGTGACAGGTAACAATGTTACCATTGCACCAACAGAGATGAGCTCTTTCACAACATCGTCCCTGTCGTTGATGGCAGCAGTTTGCAGAGGTGAGACTCGCTGTAGACTCCATACATCTGGATTAGCTTTTGCTTCAAGCAGTTTAACCACAAAGACAAGAGGTGCTTTGGATAGTGAGACATAATGCAAAGGTGTTAAGCCAGTTGGGGAAGCTTGGTTTGGATCGGCACCCTGACACAAAAGATAAGTCCAAATATCCATATTGTGATTTACAACAGCAGCAGTCAGTGGAGTTACATAGTCCTTCAACCTCCTGCATGGGTAAAGTTGATTGATATCGTTGTCCTTTAGTAATGTTTTGAGCTTCTTGAGTTTGTTGTCAAATATGCACTGTATTAAAGGATGTGTGTCTTTTGGCGGGACAAATTCTAACTGTGTGATGACATTCATGTCTTTACTTCAGGGTAACTGCAAAAAAGACAAAATTAAGACATTAATGGACGGAAGTCTGCAAGCTAGTTCAGGCAGTCAACTCAAGCTGCGCTGCTATACACACGACATGCCTCACTCCATAATCACTAACAAAGCGCACCCTTCCGATCTGGCTGTCTATTTAAACTGCACAATTTCCCAGCTCTCCCTCTGCTCTGTCAATGCCACTGCTGCCCTGCATCCGTATTGCTGCCTGCTTTGTAAGCCCCACCACCCCAGCATCCGGCTAGGGGCTATATACACAAAGCCTTCAGCCATGTACAGGTATGCAAAATGATTTCATTTTACGAATTGAAAAAACTCATATATTTACTGTTTTTGCTGAGAAAAGTCACAACAGGTTGAGTAGTAATTCAATGTGGACACAAGGTCAAGTGAACGCTGGTCCTAAATTCTAGAGTTGCAAATGCTAATGACTGAATGTTTTTTTTAGATATGACTGATATAAGAGAGTACCACGCCTGGCCTTCACTGACTGTTTAGACTTTGAACTTCCTCATTCCAGTTGGAAACCAGGATTCAACTTTGAGCTGTGATATGTCGACACAATAACCTTTGGTCATTAGGTACAAGGATGAAATATTGCATTTGTAAGTAAAAATTCATCAAATAATCAAAGACTGGCAGTATTTCCCCGTCGTGCACACCATCAAGCATGCAGCGCCAGTCTGTATTAATGTGCGTCATAGCAGATTAAATTGTAGCGTTGTTCCTTGGTTTGTGGAAGACTTAGGTGCACATATGTGATTTATATGTTTGGGCCCCTAACAAAATGTTGTTTTTTAATACAAAATAAAATAGAAATAATTAAATTTTCACATAATTAGTATTACTATATGCGTATATAATGAAAACCATAATTTCCTCATATTTGAATGGTCATATTTCCTGTCCTTGAGTGGACTAATTTTACTGTATAGTGAAAAGAATAAAGGGAAAGGTGGCTACATTTTCATTATAAATATCCAAATGTTTTTATATTTTAATAGTCATATTTCATTTTCTTTAGTAGGGTAGCGAAAACGTTGAATGTAATCTTGTTAAGATTGACCCCCACTGTGCTCATGGAGGTTTCATTCATTTTGACTGTACAGTTTTTGAAAAAATTAAAAGGGACAAGCTCAAATTACATTATAATCTCATAGTTCTGATCTGGTAGTCCGATAGTCGATATTTTAAAAACTTTTTGGGAATGAAGAGTGGATTTATCTTCACTCTCTCGTTTTCCAAGCTGTCTGCAGACACTCACCCATCTGTGCCTGACTGCGGTAACGTGAGTGGCCAATTAGGGAACCGTGGTATCAGTAGGGTTATTATGATAAGTGTGGCCTCTGAGCAAGACGGTCCTGAAAACTATTTTTATTATACTAATCAAAATTTCTTCACATTTACTTTACTTTAGTAGGTTAGCTAAAACTCGCAATGTAATCATTTTAAGGATAATCCCCACTGTACTCATGGGAGATTTTGAGTAATTTTACTGTAGGGACTTTGAGATATAGAAATTTGACTTTTTAACAATCACGACTTCCTCACATTTGGTAGTTATCTATCTCTGCCTCTACCATGTAGGAAAATTACATCTTATGATCACCAACAGAACATAATCAAGATGCAGTTTCTTTAAAGAGGGTAAATATCTTAAATAGCCTACACATGTCTTTTAAATCTCTGATTTGAGATTATTATTATTAGTAGTAGTAGTAGTAATAGTAATACTATAGTGTTTATTTATGTTCAGAAATAACAAACAAAAGTGAATGTTGCACATGTAAATGTTTTTTTCTATTACTGTATTTATTATTGGAATTCTAATTCTTCTTCTTTTATGATGTAGTAGCTTTCATAAAAGGGTGTATGTATCTCTCACGACCATCGCCTCGCTCAGAGGCCACACTTACCATAATAACCCTACTGTAGGCGCAAGGGAATTCTGACAGCGGCTCACTTTACCGCAGTACACTGCCTGTTGCTTGCTAGCTACATTCTGGCTGTTTGGGGCGGATAGAGGAGTACGTTTAATAAATGCTATAATACACACACACACACACACACACACACACACACACACACAAACATTGTGTGACTGCATAGCGGCGAAGCGAAAGGACCCCGGTTGTTCCTGCAGGTACAGAAACTTTGATCTCCACAGAGCTGACTTGTTTCTATAGCGAAAGACTCTGACATGACATGGCAAACTTCCGGATGTGTTAAAGTACTAAATAATTCAACAAGAGGTAACGACTGTGATAACACAAAATAAATTACCGCTCGAGACGAGTGACTTGACTTACCGTGATCCAAACCCGCCTTTTCCAGTGAAACGAAAGTATGACGTACCCACTATTGACAGTAGAAATATACTATTCAAGTTTTCGCGGTACGTGTTGACGCGCTTGCTTCTTCTTCTTTGGTTTCCGTACCAACGTAAAAGGTGCATGCCGCCACCAACTGTATCACAGTGTGACATTATGACTGTATCAGAAGTATATTCTGTAAATGAAATTGTTTCATTTTAGTATTTGAACCTTGTTTATCCCCATATCCACCACCCTGTCTATCTTTTTCTTTCCATACTGAACCTTCTACACTCCATCAGCACATGTTCAACAGTTTCTTTACAATTACATGTTTCACATTTATCGGAATCTATCTAAAATGATATCTTCTAACTGAATTTTATAATAATCCTGATATCATTATTCCACATATCTTGCCAAGTATTCAAATTCTTTGCACTACAACCACACCTTTTTCTAAAGCTTTTGCCACCTTAATGAGATGGAAGTGCTCAATAAATTTAATTATGACTTTCCATTCATTGTTTTGATTTCCAACCCTGGGTCTTGGATATGCTTTAGCCCTCTTGACAGTTTCATCAGAGCTGCTTAAATTGCTACCATTTCTGGTAATATACCATAAACTATATAAATGATATATTAAATTACATGATTCTGATAAATGGAGCATGTTCAGTTTCAGTCTCGATTCACCATTCTTATCCCTCACATGATGAAATATCAAAATCCACTATATATACTGAAAACAGTGTCACTCGTGTTTGTGGTTCCGGTAAATTACGTAGGCTAATTATTCCACATTCCGCCTATTTTTCAGTTTTATCCAAGCAGAGAGCGAGAGACAAAGCAGACACACAGAGGTAGGCAGGAGAGAAGCGTCTCCCGTAGATCATAATGGACGTTTTAAATTAACTGTTGCAAAAGAAGCGACACCCTGAACATATGACTCTCTAGGTTATTATACAGCTCTATGTGTGATTAGAAAAGAAGAGATAAGCAGAATAGTTTTCCACAGGGACCCCTTCACAAGACCTGAGTTGATAAAAATGTTGATATTCTCATCTGCCTTATGCCTTATGTGCACTGCACACTGAACTTTTCATCACTTTTCCCTCTCAGGCTAAACATACACTGTGTTTTTTCTGATAGGAGTCTACAGTTTGGTTCATTTCAATACAATTATGACTTTAAGAATTTCCACTTCCAGTTAAGACTAGATCCAACATCCGAGATGAAAGTTTTTCACAAAGCACGTTAGCCCTTAAGAAAGCTCCTAAGATGTAATAACGTTAGGCGTAGGGAGGATGATTTGAAAGAGGCTTAAGAGTTTCTTAAGCAGATGAGAAATTGGCGGAAATACGAGGAGGTAGAAAAAATACTCACTGACATTGAATGAAATGCTAACGATTAGATCAGATCATATTTGTAGTCGATATTATGCGCTCACATCTCCAAACTTAACGTAAAGTGATCACAACTAAGCAAACAAACAAAAGCAAATAAATGTAACCACCATCAGCATGTAGGTTACTGTTCAAGCAGGCCTGTGTTTTCAAACTATATGGCTTACAGTTTATTCAACAGAGATGTTCCTTTACTAAATTGTTTGGTGTTCAACACAATAATCCCAGACATCCTCCACACCAGATGTACTTCCTGTGCCAGTTTAGGAAGGTCAATCAAAATGATGTAGATTCCAGCATTCTTTGCACTCTTGAGCTTGTTGTCCTTTCCTTTTTCTGTATGTATGTCTATTTCTATGGATGTAAATTGAGAGCAATGTGAAACTGGAGTCAACTTTCTTGTTTGTGAGCACATACCTGGCCAATAAAAGCGAATCAGATCATGTGCATTTTGTAGTTTGTTAGGCAACATTCAGTGTTTTTAAAGAACAAAAAGACACTTGAGTGTATATATTTACATAAAATCCTCCAATTATGTCCTCTTATCAAATGTATTTATTTAGGTTCCCTGACTTTTTAAATTAGGTCAGTAGTCCAACAATTGCAGATATTTTTTCAAATTTAATTCAAAGTTCATTTCCCTGATATTACCCAAACACAAGTCCTTTCCACTAAATGGATAAAAAGAGCTTCTATCTGCTTTGCCACTTATAGTTCCTCTGAACTAAAAGGTAATCTACCAGTAAATGGGGATTTTCTATTCATATGTGTTTGTCTAGAAAGGCATTAGCTATATCCAGTCCTGAATATTTCACCTCCTAAAACAACAAAACACTTCTTCCTTTTTTACTGTACGCAATATAATCTATAGCACCTACAGCAACATTTCCACTTAACAACTAACCTCTAAGGGCTGGGGTCTCAGCTACGATAATTAAAGGTTTGTGCTTTCAAGAGATTCCCTGTATGGAAAAAGCAAAGGGGTGTGATACTTTATCACGGCCAGAAGGTGGCACTGTGGACCCATCAGAACACAGAACCCCAGTGCTGACAAGGCAACATACTGTACATTACCACAGGGTAAGAGGACATGAGGTAAGTGGCAACCACACCTGTTGCACCCTCAGAAGTAAAATTATTATAGGAAATATTTCAGTTCATTATGTCTATTCTGATGTCTTTCCTTTCCCCTTAACAAATGTTTTTTTTGGCATATGTATATAAACTAAAGTATCAAAAGTAGAAGTGATCACCCATAATGTGATTTTCATTT